ACACGTGTGAGTCCCTACTTGAACAGGGATGATGTGACCTGGCCGCCCACCTGCTGGTTGACACGACCCAGACGGGTGGTGCGTCCCTCCCAACCTGCCTGCGGGGAGGGGGCAGGGCCAGACGGTGGCTTGCTCTCAGCCTGGCCTCCAGGCTACCCTGCTGGCTGGCTGGACAGGAGACCCTGGCCCAGGTACACAGGCTGAGGGCCCCTCGAAGGGTTCTGCATCTGGCACCTGGGGGCCACCGGTGAGTGCGACGAACCCCCGTTTATTATTAGGAAGACTGAGGCTTGGCCCTCCTTTTGACTAAAAGACACAGGGGAGAAAGCAAGAAGGGAGCAGAGGGCGGGAGGAGCCATAGCGGAAGGTGGCCCAGGGGGGAAGGAAGACCCAAAACGTAAAAGAAGAAAGAAAGGGGTGAGTGGATGCGGGGAGGGAAGAGAAACAGGAGCGCCAAGGATGGGAAAGGGAAACAGAAGAAAGGAAAGCAGGAGGCGTTTCCAGGCGCGCCTGGGCGGGGGTGGCTCCCCACTGGAGACCGGGCCTCCGCCGTGGGGCCTCTCTCTTCTGCCGCCTTGGAGGCCAACTGCCGGGGCCAGTGGGGGACCTGGAACCTGCTGTGACTGCGGAGATGGCCCTGGAGGCGTCCTGCTCGGACTCTCGCTCTCCCCGAGGCCAGCGGCTCCAATCGAACGCCGTCAGGATGCGTGTCCAGGCAGGGGTGTGACCGGTCTCCGGGCCTGGCCTCGTGTCCCCAGTCACAGCGCCCAGAGTGCGGGCGCGTCTCCAGGACACCCACCCCGTCCTCACCACGGTGCGTAGCCGCTCTCGGCGCTCGCTGCGTGTCCCCACAAAACCGAGGCGCCGGCGGCCAGGCTCCTGGGCCCTGGGTGTGGACGGGGATCCAAGGTCCGTGCAAGCGCCGCCGGGGCCAGGCGAGGGGTGCGCGGGGAACAGCCCAGGGGCCTCTGGGTCTCCGCTGCCTCGAGCCACTTATTACCTGCGTACAGATTTATCTTCCAAAATTCACACGTCTAAAGAAAACCACACGTTTAAGAAAAATAACTACAAAACAAAAATAAAGTGACGCCTTCCAAAGGAGCCAGTCTGTAAAATACCCGAAAAGGAATCATTTGAAGGGAAGAGGGAGGGACGTGTCTTAAGGCGCTGCCCGGAAACCCGACTTGAGCCCGGAGCTCACAGGGGTTTGAAAGGATCCAAAACGAAAAGTCTACACTCGACATCGAAACTTTCGTAAAGGAAGGCGTCTCCAACGAGAAAGTCACACTCGGCGGTCCCTGAGACGTGTGACCTTCGAGCGTGAGGACCCCGCGGTTTTCCGCTTTGAAGGCAGGACGGGGGTCGCCAGTCTCGAACCCGCGCACCGGGACGCTGCGCACCTGAGGTCCCGCGGGTGCGGGTGCGGGTGCGGCGCCCCCGCCTGCCCGGCCGAGCTGCGGGCTTCCCGGGAAGAGGGGGGCACCTGCGTGCGGCCTGCGGGGCTCGGGGCGGGCGCGTGGGGGTCCCCGCAGGCGCTGCCGGGCGGTCGCCCTCGGAGGTGAGCGGACGGGTCTGGAAGCCGCAGACACTTCGTTCCCGCCCTGACTCCGTTTTACGGCGTAAGATCCAAACCCACGGCCAGGGGGGAAGAGACGCAGAGAAACGGGCCGGGGTCGGGGCAGGGGGGGGGGGGGCGGCCCGGGGCTCTGCAGCCCGTGCAGGAGCGGCGCCGCCGGCCTCGCCCAGGCCCGCGCGCGGCCGACTCCGCTTCCCGTCCGCGCCGGGGCTCGGGACCCCCCGCCAGAGGCTCCCCCGGGACGCGGGGGGGAGGGGGAGGCTGGGGGAGGGGGTGAGTCTGGGACCTGCTCGTCCGGCTGCCGTGCTGGGGAGGGAGGGAGCTGCCCCTTCCCCGCGTCTCCCTTCCAGGCCGGCCGTGGGGTCCGGAGGGGCAGCGCAGGGGGGGCGGCGCCGGGACCCCCCCAGCCGCCGAAGCCCCTCGCCGCGCGCCGCTGGGAGGGGGCGGCCGGCCTCGGGCGCTGAGGTCACCTTTTCCACTGCGCCCGCCGAGCGCGGACGGTTTCCGGGATTTTCGCGGCGGCGGCGGCGGGAGGCCCCAGCCGGGTCCAGGCGCGGGCTGCGCTGCTGCGCCCCGGAGGCAGGGCCTGCGGGCTCGGAGGCTCCTCCGCCTCGGGGCTCCGCTCCTCGAGGACGCAGAGGAGGGACCCGCCGTGAGCCCCTTGCCGGCCAGTGACGCGGCGGTTCCCGGGCGGACGAGGCCCTGCAGCCGCTCGTGCGCACCGTTTCGCCCGAGAGGGGTTTGTCGGCGGGGCGGCCTCGTCGGGCGCGGGAGGTCGAAGGCCGTCCCGCCTGGGATGGGAGACCCGCGCGGGTGCCGGGCAGGCCGGCTGCCCTCGGGCCTCGGCCCGACCACGGCCTCCGGCTGGCCCCCCGGAGGGCGTTCTCCAAAGGGCCCGGGGCCTCATTCGGGCGCCGCAGACCTCGCCGGCCGCGGGGAAAGAGCCCTGGCGGGCGTCCAAAGGGCTGGGGGGGCACCCTGGGCCTCAGCACCCCTGGGCCTCAGCACCTGCGAAACGAGGTGTGGGCTGGGCTGCGCCGTGTTCTGACTCCCCCAGACCTAGAGGTGAGGTCTCACCCCGACAATGACTTCCTTCCTCAAGCCTGACCCTGGAGGCTAACTGGGGGCCGGGTGGGTTTGGTGATACCTCCCGGAACAGCAACTGCAGGGGGAAGAGGTGGTTCAGAGCTGAGCGGCTCCATCAGGGGTCCAAAAAGGGGTGAAGAGATAGAGTGGGGGTGGCTGGGCCTAACCCTCCAAAGGAAATACCCCCAGGCTATGCCCTTGGAGAGACCCTGGGAGGAGGGGGAGGGGAGAGGGAGTGGGGGTGGGTGGAGGCTGGTGGGCCCTACTGGGGGGGGGGGCGGTGAGGGGAAACGGGTGTGACTCTGATTTGTGCTGCTGACACGTCCCGGAAGCAACAGCGCAGAGCCCTGCTCCTCCGTGGCCCCGGGGCCAGCGCGGTCCGGCGGGGCAGCCCAGGCCTCCAGGAGCCCGGCTTCTCCCCGGGACTGCGGGCAGCGCGGCCCCACCCGCCACCATGCCTCGTCTCACCGGGAGGGCGGCCAGCTCAGCGCCGGACACCGTCACTCTCAGTGGGTCCCACACTGTCCCCTTCTGAACAACAACCACGTGACTCACAAGACCACCCACAAGTGGAGCACCTGGAGGCCCCCTTTCAGACCTGATGCTGGCTGTTGTGTCCAGGAAGGGGCAGCTCCCGGCCAAAGTCACCCGACCACTGCAGGGGGAGGCAGCTGGGATCCCAGAGCCTCTGCAAGACGTTGTCTTTGTCCCTATGGACAAAGAGTCTCGGCATCTCCTAGTTCCCGAAGAGGCTAGGACGGTGCCAGGGCGTGGGGCTGCCCTCAAGGTGTCGCTGCCAGCGTGGGGGGCTAGACAGCCTGCATCAGCTGGCGGAGGGCAGGGCCCATTTCCCAGAAGCAAACACTGAGGCCCGGGCAGAGCTCACATAGGGGGAGAAGTGGTCCAGGACCTCAGCTGAGGGACTCCCCTCAGCCTCCCAGAGACTCCGATCCGCCCCCACTGACACCTCCTCGTCCAGACGGTGAACTCCCCCCCAACAGGCCTGTGGGACACATGGGTGCAGGACCCCCTACTGGGCCGTCGTGGTCTCCCTGGAGCCAGGAGTCCGCGTCTGCTCGGGACAGGTCGGGAGGCTGAGGCCCAGATGGGGCAGTGGCTTGTTTGGAGCTGCGGAGCCACAGATGGAGAAACTCGGCAGAGACTTGGGGGGCGAGGAGGGGGACTGTTCACCCGCGGCTTTGGCTTCTCCTGCAGTGAGGAAGAGAAGGAGCCAGGGAAGGCCGGGCCTCCCTCAATCCCTGAGGAGACTCAGGCTCAGAGACCAGGAGGGTGATGCCAGTTTGTCGCCAGACGCTCAGCGCACCCCGAGGCCCCTCAGCCAGCTCAGCCCTGTGCCAGGGTCCTGTGCGGGTAAGGGGTGAAGCTGCAGCCCTTCCTTCGCGGCCTCCATCTCCTCCGGGGGGGGGGGGGCAGAACCCGCCCCACAGCCGGCCGGGTCGCCAAGGAGGATGTGTCCACCCATCACTTGGCAATATAAGCAAATCCCGGCCGGAGAGCCTCTCAGGGCAGCCAGCCCGGGACACAGGAGGCCACGCCTGGTAAACTGAGGCGGGAGTGCACAGGTGCGACGGCTGCTCCGAGGCCCGCGCTGCGCCGGCCCGGCCCGGAGGCTTGTGCACAGCTACCCCCTTCCCAGCGAGCTCCGCGGCCGCTGCCTCTCCTCCCCCGACCTCCCCAGGGCTGCCTACCCCCGGCCGGGCCGCCGCCTGCCCAGCGCTGCGCGCCTCTGTGCCCCGCGGCACGTCGCGGCCCGCCGGCCTGTCTCCGCGCACGCCGCGGCGTCCGGGCGCCCGCGTCACCGCCTCGCGTCCCGCGTGGCCTCGCTGCGCGGCGCGGCCCCTCACCTCGGTCTCGGGCCCTCCGCTCCCATCGCCAGGGGTCCGGTCTCCGAGCTCTCCGCCTCTCTCCTTCCCGGGCGTGCGCTCCGCGCGGTCCCCTCGGTCTCGCCGGCCCGCCCCCGCAGCGGCCCCCTCCCTCCCGCCTCCCTCCCCTCTCCGGCCTCCCTGGGGCTCGCCCCGGGGGTGGGGTGGGGGCGGGGGCGGGGGCGCGGGGCGGGGCGGCCGGGCGGGGCGGGGCGGGGCGGTGACGCGGGGCCGGCCGGGCAAGAGGCGCGGCGGCGCGGGGCGGGGGCGCAGTCCCGGGTCCGACCGGCCGAGCCCCGCGCGCCCCGCCCGCGCCCTGCGCCTCCGCCCGGCTAGCCGGCGGGGGAGGGGGCATGAGCCGGCGCCCGCGCACCGCCCCGAGCTGCGGGCGGGCTTAGAGCCCCGCGCGGGGCCGCGCGCCCAGCCGCCACCGCCACCGAGTCGCGGGCGCCGCGATGCAGCGGCCTGGGGAGCCCGGCGCCGCGCGCTTCGGGCCGCCCGAGGGCTGCGCCGACCACCCGCCGCACCGCTACCGCAGCTTCATGATCGAGGAGATCCTCACCGAGCCGCCGGGGCCCAAGGGCGCCGCGCCCGCCGCCGCCGCCGCCGCCGCCGCGGGCGAGCTGCTCAAGTTCGGCGTGCAGGCGCTGCTGGCGGCGCGGCCCTTCCACAGCCACCTGGGTACGTGCGGGGCCGGGCGGCGGGCGGCGGGCGCGTCGGGGTCGCGGCTCCGGGCGCGCAGGCCCCGGGCGCGCTCCGGCGGGGCAGCGAGGGGCAGGCGCCGGGCCGCGCGCAGACCGGGCCTGGTGCTCGCGGGCCGGACCGGCGGGGAGGGCGTCCGCTCCCAGCGTCGCCGCCGACCTGCGGCCTCCCGCCGTGGCCCCGAGCGCGCATCCCGGGCGCCGGGCGCAGCATCCGACTGCTAACGTCAGACTGCGGGTCAGAGCGACCTCAGGCTTCGGGCTCCGGGGCCTAAGCGGCAAAGGGCCGGTCGGGAGTGGCCGCGGCTGCCCACGGTGGCGGGGACGCCAGACCTCTGGGGAAGAAGCCCGTGCCCCCGAGGGCTGTGCTGGGGGATGACGCTGGTTCCGGGGTCTCAGGTGGGATCCCAGCGGCCTCTGCTGCAGCGCCGACGCCCCTGGGCCCTGCCTGGGGACAGGAGGCCTGGCTGTGAGCCGCTGCCCGCCTGGCCCTCCCCCCAGGTCGGCTGGGCCTCCTTGGATCTGTAGCTGCCTGCTCCGGCCTTTTCTGTTCTCTTCCTTCCCTGCCTATTGCAGCCTTTCCCTGCCGGCCTCTCTCCAAGGCCCCCCTTCTTCTTCTGGCCTTTCCCCGCCTCTTCTCCCCCACTGCTCGCTGGGCGGCTTCTCTCTGAGGGGTCTGTCTGCCCTTCCTCTCCCACCTCCTCCCGAGGGTCGTTTCTCCCCTCCTCACATACGCTCCCACCTTGCTCAGCCCTCGCAGGCAGCAGTAGGGCGCGCCTCTGCCGCAGTGAGATGCCCGGCCCGGGAGGGAGGCGCATCGTCCTAGCAGGACCCCCTCCCGCAGGCGGCCTTGCCCTGCACCCATGACCCTCCAGCCACCACTCTGCCAGCCCAGAGGGCCGCAGGGCCTGCTCGTTCGTTTTAAGTCCAGCTCTGAGGTTGCCTCTCCGCTGCTCTTTGCACAATTGTTAACATTTCGTTTGAAGCGGGCAAAAAAAAAAAAAAAAAATCACAGGACTAATGAAAAATGGAACCGTCTTCGCGGGAAGAGTCTAAACAGAGCAAACAGGAAAGATACTTTCCTGACTCGCGGGGTGCTTGGAGTTTCTGGGAAGCGCCCAACCCCACCCCCGCTGGAGACCGGCCGCCTGCCCGCCGCGTGGCTCTTGTGCCCGGCCCAGGACACTAGATGCGCTCGCTCGTTAACAAACGTCTTGTTTCCGCCGCAGCGATGCAGACTCGGTTGGGGCAAACGCTCACATTCCCAGCTCGCTGCCATTCCTTCTTGCTTTCCTTTTCTGTGAATGACACCCTCTGTGCTTCTTGGAGCCCAAACCTTGTTCAGTGAGAATCCCAGAATCCTGGAGGCGACTGGGGCCTTGGGAACACCAGGCAAAGGCCCGGCTGCGGGAGGTCCCACTCCTAGACTCCAGTGACTGGCTTTGAAAGGGTCACCCTAGGCGTGCCGCACAAATCTCGCACTTTGTGGCCAGGCAGGAAGGGTTTGTGCTGGGGAGCGCCGGCCTAGCGAACAGTGCCAGGGACCTCCTGGAGGAGGAGCAGGGCCCAAGCTCACCCGCTCCCCACTCGCTCCCCACTCTCTCCCCCTGCAGCCGTGTTGAAGGCCGAGCCGGCAGCGGTGTTTAAGTTCCCCCTGGCGCCGCTCGGCTGCTCTGGGCTGGGCTCCGCGTTACTGGCAGCAGGGCCTGGCCTGCCCGGCGCCCCTGGCGCTCCGCACCTGCCGCTGGAGCTGCAGCTCCGTGGGAAGCTGGAGACGCAGGGCACTGGGGAGCCGGGCGCCAAGGCCAAGAAGGGGCGTCGGAGCCGTACGGTGTTCACTGAGCTGCAGCTGATGGGCCTAGAGAAACGCTTCGAGAAGCAGAAGTACCTCTCCACGCCCGACAGGTAGCCTGGGTCCCGGCTGAGCCCCGTGGGTGGTGGGAGGGGTCTGCTTGCCCAGCTGAGGGTGCACCCTGCTCTTTCCAGAATAGATCTCGCTGAATCCCTGGGCCTGAGCCAGTTGCAGGTGAAGACGTGGTACCAGAATCGGAGGATGAAGTGGAAGAAAATAGTGAGTGTGCCCGTGTCTTTTTGCCCCTGGTTGGCGCCAGGCTCCTGTGCCTTCCAGGAGCCACTCCCCCCTCGACCCCCACCGCAGAGACTTCGCCCCAGCCCTTCCGATTCCCTCCGTGTCTGGTGCCTGCAGGGACCCTCTCTTCTCTCTCCGCACCCCTGGGTGCCCTAGCACAGCCCGCGTTCCTTCATGCCGCGCTGCACCCCCAAGCTCTCTGGCAGCCTTGAACCCTAGGCCCGACCCTTCGACTGCCTTTCCCCAGCAGTGCTCAAATGGCCGCCATTTCCTCGAGGCCAGGCGCGGCCTCAGAGGGCCTCGCGGTGCCCAGCAGGCCCTGCCTGGGCACAGGGCGCGGGGTCCCGCCGCGTGGTCCCAGCTCACCGCCGCGTCGGGCCTTCCTCGCGCAGGTGCTGCAGGGCGGCGGCCTGGAGTCTCCCACCAAGCCCAAGGGGCGGCCCAAGAAGAACTCCATTCCCACGAGCGAGCAGCTCACGGAGCAGGAGCGCGCGAAGGAGGCAGAGAGGCCAGCGGAGGCGCCAGGCGAGACCATCGACAGGGGCCGCGAGGACTGAGCGCTCAAAGCGCCGACCCAGGACCCCCGCGCTATCGAGGACCCCCTCCGGGGGCTGGAAGTCGTGAGCAGGCCCTTCTGCGGCCTTGCCGTTTGCTTTCTAAACGCGTCATTGTTACCTTGAAGGCGGACAGTTAGGGGCCAAGAAAGAAAGGACACAGACCCTGCAGCCCAGCGCAGCCCCTGCGCGTTCCCTGGCCGGGCCCGGAGCCCCGCGCACGCACGCCCCGCTCCTCTCCCGCACCCCCCCCACCCCGCCTCGGGCGGCCCCCGCGTCCGGACGCCCCGGCACACTCCCGCTCCCGCCGTCGGGGGCCCAGCGGCTCGGGCGGGCCCCCCCAGCCCGGCAAGGCGCGCGGACGCCCGGCGGCTCTGCCCTGAGGCCGGGTCCCCGACGTCGCGGGGGCTCCTACCCCTCTCTTGCGAAGACAGTGATTTTTTTCCAATAAAATATTTTATGACACAGTGGGGCTTGATGAAGGGGTCTCTGAGTCCGCGGGGCTGGGGGGGGTGTCGCGGCGAAGCAAGAGGGGCCCCCGCAGTGGCTCCTGAAGCCCTTTCTCCGGGCTCCGTGGAAGCGAACCGTGACCGGCCTCAGACGGGGCGCGGCAGGCGGCCCTGGTGCCGCGGGTCCCCGGAGCCGCTTCCGCGCGGTGTGAGGGGCCGGGGCGCCCTTCCTCCCCTTCCTTCCCGCCCGGGGCGCGGGCAGCAGCAGCCGCGCTGGGCGGGAGCCCCAGGCCGCCGCGGAGCCGCCTTCCGTAGTCGGTTCAAGAACCGCCTGCGAGGCCGTCGACGCGCGCTGGGGCCCGAGGCCCACAGAGGCGCCACCAGCGCGGCCCCGTCTCCCGCCCAGCGGGCGCCTAGCCCAGGTCCTGCTCCGGGCAGCAAGGGCACCTGACCCGGTCCTGGGGGCCTCCCCAGTCCGCGCAGGGCGCCCTTCCCGGGGCTGGGGCTCGGTGGCGCGTGCCCGCGGGCGCCTCTCCTCCGCCCTGAAGGCTCGGCGAACCGCTCTCCCTCTAGGATGGGCTGGGCGCCTGGGCTCCGCCTCGCACCTCCCGCCGGGACGACGACCCGAGTTCGGGGACGGCCGGCGGATGTCCGCTTTGCCGGCTAAAGCCCAGGGAGACACTGCATTGTGGGCTGGCAGAATTCCAGGTGGGACCAGGGTCTAACCAGGCCCTCCAGGTGCAACTACCGGGGACAGAGGAACATCCTATCCCGGTGCAGGTTTTGCGTCTCTCGAACGTGAGCACGAGTCTGGCCTCCACCTGTGGTGGCGACGGCTGCCTTTCACACTGCGGCTTAATCGTTCCTTATGAACCCCGCGCCTGGGTGTCTGGGCCCTGCGCATCGCGGGCGACCGGTGAAGGCTGGGAGCAGTAAGGGCGGGGTTCTTTCTGAGGACCGTGCACCGAGCACCCTGCACGGAGCACCGAGCACCGCCGGGCGCAAGGAAACCAGCTGGTGCTCGAAGGCTCAATCTTGCAAACAGCTTCCATCCTACTCGCTCCCCAGCGTCCCCTGCGGCACCAGACACCCGGCGGACCGCTGCGCGCCCACCCCTCTGGCCCTGATGGTCACCCCCAGGTTGGCTCTCCGTGGCGGTGGGCGGGAACCTCCCTGAACCCGGCGCGGCCGACCGAGCCACGCGCGCTGCTCAGTTTCTTTCCACTCCAAATGGGAGGGAGGGAAGGTCTCACAGGTTTTGTCTCCTGTGCGCCCTGGGCGCAAATTCCAGTTACAGCCCCTGTTCAGCAGCGGGAGATGTAGAAGGAAGGAGGGTCCAAGAGAAGAGAAGGAGAGGTTCTGACCCACTCCATGAAGTCGGTCCTGGGGCCCTAGGTTGGACTCGTTCTGAGGAATGCGACCCAGGGCAGACTGCCCAGGGGTTTGGCGGCGTTTCCCCAAGGTGGCCCCCTCCCCGGACTGCAGGCTGAGGCTGTGGGGGAGAGGGCTTGGGGCGGGAAGCGGCGGCCGAGTCGGACACCAGAGCACGGGGGCCCTTAGCGCAGCGACGACAGCCCCTCCAGGTCAGATGGGGAGCCTGTTGGGTCACTGCTGTCGAGGGGTCACTAGCCGGTCGGAGGGGGAGCTGGGCCCCCAGTGCGGGCTGGGGTGGGAGGGTTCCTGTCACTGCCTGTGCCGCTGTGCCCCGGGTGGGGGGCAGGGACGGGGGTGCCGCAGCAGGCCGAGCCCTCGAGGCCTGTTCCTGGCCCGGGAACTCCCGGAGAAGAGAAGGCGCCGCAGCCACGACGTGCCCACGGCGCCCCAGACTTGGCGCGCAGCCCAGGGCCCACGAAGCCGCGACTCCAGGGGAAAGGCCGCACCCCCCACCCCTCACGGAGGTGACGCGGTGCCACCGGCGCGGAGGCCCCTCCCCGCCCGGCAGCGCGTGCCCCTGCGAGCAGGCGGGGAGGCGGGGAGGGACGGCCGCCTCGACCCCTCGCGGCTCGCGGCCGCACCGATCTGGTCTCCACCCCAAGGTCCTGGGAAACACACCCCCGGGACTGTACTGGAGACTAGGTCGCGGCCACGCCTGGGGCGCCCTGGGCCGGCGGCCGCGGGCTGGAGCGCGCTCCGGCGTCTCGCGAGAGCCGTGCCCTGGGGTGGGGTGGGGTGGCGGCCGCGTCCCGGACCCTCGCGACCCGAAAGGTTGAGGCTGCCCTCGGGCTGAGCGTCTCCGGATTAACTACCAAACTTGCGCCCGGCGCTTCTAGGGCGGGGGAGGGGGTCGGAGGGCGGGGCGGGGCGGTAGGGAGGCTTCCGGGGAGGGTCGGCGAGCGGGGGGTGCGGGAGCGTGGCCCTGACCCTGACCCTCGTCGTTCCGGCCCGTGCCAGCGGGCGCCTCGCTGGCGGCGCCCAGGGGCGCTTGGGGATAGGGTGGTCCCTTGGAGGCGGCCCGAGGCCGCAGCCGGGCTCCCGGTCCTGCCCGGAGCCGGGACCGCCCGGGAAGTGACAGGTGCAGCCGGGAGCCCCCACCCCCCCGCGCCGCTTTGTAAGACAAAGTTCGCTCGGGCGTCACCTTTCCCAGCTCGGAGTTCTCCGGAGGCCACTGCTGGGAGCCGAGGTGAGAGGGAGGAACGGCGCGCGGGGCCGCACGGAGCCCTCGGGGAGCGAGGGCGCCCCTCGCCGCGCCGGGAGCAGGGGGAGGAGGGAGGGCGCTGGCCCCGGCACCGTCCGGGGCCCGCAGGGCGGGGAGAAGCCGGGCAGCCCCTTCACCGCCGCGCTGCCCCCGTGCCTGGCTTCCTTTCCACACGCGGGACGAGCTCCGGCCTCAGAAGTGACGTGTCTGGTTCCACGCGGGGTCCAGGGAGGATCGCGGGGACCCAGGAGGCCCCTCTAGGAGCCGCGGCCAGGCCGAGCAGGACCACGGTGCCCCACGGGCCCCCGCAGCTCGGCCGGCCTGGGCGCTCGGAGCCGAAGCACGTTTCTCAAACGCCACCTTCCCCGGCCCCACTTTAGGGACTAAGGGAGGCTTCTCCCAGTCAGTGAGAGGGGCCGGAAGGGAGCCCCGGAGACAGAGCTTTGCATTCAGTCCGCCGGCCCCTCGCTAGCCCTGCGCTCTGGGTCCCTGGACACCCAGGCGCAGTGAAAGGTAGGTCCTCGCCTCTGCAGGAAGGTCGCCTGGGGCACCTCCTGGCCTGACCCTGCGGAGGCCTCTCCCTTCTGTGACTTCAAAAGTCCCCTTTTCCTAGTTTTCACGCCCTGTCACTGAGTCTCATCAAGTTTAAGACAGCATGTTCCCTTTCCTGAAACCTGAGTTCATATGACAGTGGGGGGAGGGTGTCCAAGGCACTGGGGGCCTGGGGTCTGCGGGACGCGACTGTCCCCGCAGCAGCTGCCCTGACCCTCAGTGGAGAAAGCCAGGAAGCCTGCTAGAGCGTAGGGGTGGGGGCAGGGGTGGGGGCGGGGAGCTTCCTGGAGGTGCAGGGAGACAGGCCGAGGCCAAGTGGCACGGGGCTTTGGAGGTCACAGATTCAGAGGCAGCTCTGACCTCAGAGAGGTTTTACGAATACCTCAAGCCATCGATTTCCTCGATAGTTTCCTTTTTATGTAAACTCAGTAGTGACCCGTGGAAAAAAAAAAAATCAATGTCTTAATAGGCCCCAAAGAGATCTTTGAGTAAGAATAACGTAAAAATTCTGACGACATAAAAACATTGGGTGATGACTGCATTGTCAATGTCTTCACAAACTTTTCTTTCTTAGTGCTTGCAGAAATATCAGTGTCTGCCTTTGGTGGCATCATGGACTCTAATATCATTCAAGCACTTCCTTGGACCATTCAGTCATTCAGCAAAGCAGTTACTGAGCGTGGCAGGCAGTTCCCAGCACGGCGACACAAGCCCATCCACTGTGTTGATCCAATGACAACCCAGTAAGGTATGTACCTTACTCCCATTTTACAGATGAAGATAAAGTTCAGAGATGGTAGGCAACTTGCTCAGGGACACACAGCGATTAGCAGCAGCAGTTCCCTCTGACTTCACCTCTACGGATCTCCACTGCCCCTTGCCCAGCAGCCTCGAGATTCAGCTTGGGGCGCTGCGGATGCCTCGGGGTCCCCCCACAGCCTCTGCCTGCCCAGAATGAGTTTGTGCACATGTTCACTGAGTATTTATTAAATGCCTGTTGTGTGCCAGGCACTGTGCTGGGCGTGGGGCACGCGCCTCCGACCCAAGTAGCGCATGCTGGAGGGGTGGGGGCTCGGGCAAACCACGGCCTGCTTTCAGGGAGGGACCACGTCTTATGTAAAATGAAGCAGGTGACCGTGCGTCCGGGGGGGTTTAGGCGGCCGGTCAGTGAGGGTCTCCTCCCGGAGCGGACTCTTCGGCTGAGACCTGAAGGGGGGCACGCCAAGGCCCTGAGGCAGTTAGCAGTTTGGCCAGAGAGTGTGGAGAGGTGGGCAAGGGTGTGGGTGAGGGGTGAGGGGTGGGCCCCGGCGCCTCCGCCCGCCCAGCCCCTGCAAGCCAGGCGCGCGGCCGCCGGAGCCCCGCGGCAG